GAGGGGCGGAAGCTGTGGCTCCAGGAGCGGTAACGAGATCCGAGAGCTGAAGTTGGGATTGGGCTCGGGGACATCCCGCGCATCCCGGTACTCACATCTCCGCCACTCGCCGTCTGCCTTCACCAGCCGATCCACTAGTCCCGGGTCCTTGAAGCGGTTCTTTTGCGTCTCTCGGACGAGGTCCGGGTCGCCTCCTTTATCCACACGAAACAAATCGAGATCCAACACCATCTTTCCTCCGCCCGGGTCAGCGATAAGGAGAAATGAGAATCGCAGCCAGGGCGTCAATTTATGACGGACGCACTGCGCCGGCGCGCTNTCCCCCCCCGCAGGCGCAGGCGCAGGCGCGGCGGGAGCCCTGGCGTGGCCTCTTGGCTGGAAGCCGCCGTGTTGCCGGCTGGGCGGCGGAAAGGAGGGTGGCGCGGGCGTGGGCTTCTCTGGCAGTGACCCGGCCCCACCCGGCCGCCCCGGCCCCGGCTTTAGGTCACCTCTAGTGCTTCCTCCCCAGCTCTGCCCCCTTTCTGTGGGGGCTCTCACCGCCCCGAGTGCCGCGGTTTCCCCCTCACGGTCCGGGACGTTGCCTCAGGCTAGACGGAGGCCCGCCCGTGGGGTGGGCGGCTTGGGAGCCGGCGCCGCCAGCAGATGGCCAGGTTCGGGCTCGCAAGGTTGGGTCCTAACACCGGACCCTCTCCCTGACCCCTCGGCTCTCTTCTCCGTCTCGAGACAGGAGCATGGCTACATTTTTCCGTCCCCAGGTGACCTAGGGTACATTTCTTAATCTGATTATTGGGTAAACCATAGTGTCTCTTGATCAGCCTTTAAGATCAAAGGGGTCGGGAAAATGCGATTGAAATATTTTGGAGGGAGACACCAGGAAGAAATATTCCAAGGGGGACATATTGACCAGCCTCGAAGGCAGCACGAGATGTTGAGGTCGTGTCTTAGGATATTAGAAAACTTGAGCAAAGATCTCGTTGCACTTCGTTTGGGTAACATTCAGGCCTATACAGTAAAAATGCTGGTAGCTGGTGGAGCCGAAGGTAATCAAAGGATCTCCCTGGTAAGGAGAGATCGGAGGATTTGGGGATAGGCGTCCTGTGCTCCCCATCTTTCCCCACCTTGCGGACGGAGGCTTCAGGGCCCGGGCCGTCCCAAGGCTAGTGGCTCACCCCGGACCCTGCTCCCTGAACCTGCCACAAGCTTCCACCCTCAGCCTTCTCCCTGCAAGTCGCTCCCGTGGTGGGGATGTGAAGTGCATCTCCCACGCGGCAGACACCGTGCTGGGTCTTGCGGAGAAAAAGATACCGATGTGGAGCACAGCCCGCGGGCGCGGCTGAGCGGTTGAGCGTCCACCTGGGATCCAGGAGATGCGGTTCGATTCCGGGTCAGGGCACAGGCCCCGGGGGAGCCGGCTCGACCCCCAGCAGGGGGCGCGCGGGAGGCAGCCGGCCAGTGCCTCTCTCATCATGGATGTTTCTCTCTCCCTCCCTCTCCCTGTCCTCTCTCTGAAATCAACAAAGATATTTAAAACAAAACAAAAAGAACCAAAATAAGAACAACAACAAAAAACCAGATGTGGGTCACAACCAACCAGCTGAGGGAATTCTTTTGAGGGAATTACGGAGCCGTCAACTAGAGTGAAGGAAAAACAGACGCAGGGAAACCCAGCTACCCTGGGAAATGGTTCTTGACTCCCTCCAGGGTTTTATCCACGGGTAGCCTCTAATGATCCACCTCAGACCCAAACGAGCTAACGTTGCTCGCATGGGTGGTCTCCCCGTTATGGGGCCGGCCTCGGCGCCGCCGAGCGGAAGCCCGGCTGGAAGGGACCGGAACTAGCCTAAGAAGCTGCGCGCGGCCTCCGGGCCGGGCCTCCCTGCACCTTGGGAGCTGAGGCGGCGTTGCCTGCCTCTTACATTGCGGAGACCGAGGCTCTGGCTGGTGGCTGACTCCCCGACAGGCGGCCAGAGGCTCGCGCTGCGCCGGGTACCGCTGTCGTCTCGGTGACTCCGCGGGACCCGGAACCCTTCTCCTCCGCAGTTGAAGCCTCAAGGCCGGTCCCCGCTTCTCGCCCACCCGCCCGGCCATCCAGCCCGCGTGGAAGGAAAACAGCTCGAGAGGTATGTTTTTATTTCACACCAAAAAAAAAAAAAGTGACGCGCAGGACCCATCCCCGTAACAAACTACAAGCTCTTGGAATACAGAGTAAGAAAAGGGAAATCCAACCAGCCGTGAGGAGACCAAAAAAAAAAAAATTTAAAAAATCGGTTTCACAAAGCTGAAAAATTGCGTTACAAAGTCTCTGTTGTATAAATATAGTCAGTTTTATCTTTAATGTAGAGTCAGACACCAAAAAAAAAGAGAGATTGAAAGCAACAGGTTTTGTTGGCATAAGAAATCCCCTGGTCCTCGACTATGCCGCAATCTTTATTTGTATTCCCAGCCAAACACAGGTGCCGTCTATGCGATGAGAGTTGCTTGTGTGTTCTGGGACTTTAGGTAACCAAATGGGGTTTAAATATTTTATGTCCTGAGCCCACACTCCCTCCCCCAATAGCTTATACAAACCACTCTAGCCTTAGTTTAAGGGTGCAAGGCTTTTCCCATACACCATCTAACTTCGTCTACTCTAAAATTAATTGTGCCGGACACAGTTCTCCAGGTATACTAAAATCCACTGAATTGTACATTTTAATTGAGAGAATTTGTATGGTGTTTGAATTACAGCTCAAAAGAGCTATCACCAAATATCTAGCGTGCCCAAGTTGCCAGGGGAGCAACAGGTGACCCCAAGAGCATAACTCAGGGGTTCCTGGCAGGACACAGGGAAGATCCGCAGAAGTCAGCACTCTAAGGGATGGTTAGTGGGGTCTGAGGTTGCTGGGGGGGGGGGGCA